TTTCTTGATCCCGGAAATCTTGTACTCAGAGTCACGGATAAAGTGGACTACCCAGCTTGATACTTGGTGGATGACCCCCCGTTCTTTCTAGTGGCTTTTTCCCGTCCCTTTTGGGACCATTCACCCTTTTCCCAACCAAGCATAGGTAGAAGCCCTCTTTCCCATACACAACGACGGTTCCAAGCAAGATGAATAGTTTATAGTCGACTCAATATCGGCGAAATCCCCCCATTTAATATCTTTAGTACCGATTCTCTTGTAGTGCACCCTTCATCGAAAGAGTAGGCGGTTGAAAGACCCACCTCTGAATAAAGCCTTTAGGTTGGGAGATCTCAAAGGGGAACCTCGCTTAGCTTATCAGTCCCTGTATTATTCAACTCATCTGTCCACTTATCTTGTCCAAAGCAGAAGGAATTTTGCAATCCTTTGTTTCGAAGGTAATCCGCCAGTCTCTAGACTGGAAAAGATTCAATCCACTTGTTGGCCTGCTTCTATGTCCTGTAGCTTCTAAGGCATTAGCTTCAAAGGGGCTTGTTGGCCCCCTTCTTAGCTCTTGATGTCTGCTTTAAGCTTCGTCGAATAAGGCCCTTACAACATCTTATGAGAAGGGCCTCTCGATACAATTTAAGGCCAGTTGCGTACTTGCTAGAGACGGATTCCGCCATTCCCTGAAACATCAGGGCCCAGAAAAAGATTTGGATGTGGATGATAGAGAGCTTTTTATATATCCCCAAAATGAGAGCTATTAGATGAGAAGAGACTTCGCGCCATGGAACATGCCCAGGTCTACCAGAAAAGGGGCTTTCAAGTGAATTAAAAAATAAGGTAATATAGAGAAAGGTCAACATAGGAGAGAAAGTCTTGAAAAAGATTATTTCCGGACGTGAGCCTCGCCCAAGAGGGAAACTCCATTTTGTGCTCGATCTCTTCTGTCATGCATCATGGCTGGGTGAGTTGTCCCATTGCGAATGAACCTCCGTGCTTCCAATCTGGTCATGCACTTCTTTAAGATGTGGAACCTGGGAGCTTTCCTCTTATAAATAAATAGGGCTAAATCTTTCGTAGGGGGGTAAGGATGGTGCCGAGGTCTTAATAGAAAGGGGTTGATAGTCCCGTCTGCTAGGCTTTTCCGAACTTCCCTTCGCCTTTCTCTCTCTTAGTTAAGGGGGTTTCAGAGAATCATCCGAACGAGATACGGTTGTCAAATGGGGGAAGAGGAACGAGAGGCGTCCCTAAGCTTTCCGGCTCACTAGTAGGTGACGAGGGTATTAAAAAAAAAGGGCTCATTTCACCTGCCCATGCATTCGTTCGGATTCTTCCTTCTTTACCTTTTCAACCCACCCTTACTAGCTAATAGGGCTTACTAAAAAAGCGAATTTCCCTCTTCCTGGTAATGAATTAAGCGGCAGCGAGGAGGTCCGGTTCCATAGCGATTTCGTCTGCTTTTGGAACTTAGATTCCTAGGGACAAAGAAAGTGACTTCGGACTTTTGAATTCTCAGAACCTCCTTCGAATTCAAGAACTTGAGAGGGTCTCACAGGCATCTCTCTTCGAGCGGCAGTGCAAGCTCGGATGGTGTTAGCGCTGGCAGAAAGTCCTGGATTAGTTTGTACCGGTGTAGGTCCCTGAGTGGTGACTTGTCCCCCTTGATGTTGTGGCATTGGATTAGTCTAGATCCCCAGTAGCTTCAGTGACATTGGCGGCTTTAAGGTATGCCTTAACTTCGTTCCAATTGATAAGATTTTCATCTAGATGACATCACGCAAAGTATGACACTCTTCGATGGTACGGCCTGCGTATCGGTGAAATGGACAG